CCCCAAAACCCCAAAACCCCAAAACCCCAAAACCCCAAAACCCCAAAACCCCATTTTACAAAATTTTAATTGAATAAATTGATTATTTAACTGAAAACAAAATGATCTCGATTCAGAAAATCAATGACAGAGGGTGAGTCATAGCATGGATGAACTATCCTGCCCAGGCTCATGACTACACGGAGTCATGAAAGTTAGAACCAAAGGATTTTTATGCTAAAAACCGATATTTTGTTAAGACTTTCTGTTAGCTTCTTAGGCTCAACTCACCATTTTACAAATGATTCTAATCCAAATATAAACTCTATTAATTTTGGATGGTATTTACCTCTGTTTATAGGATAATGAGAAGGAAGCCTCCAAAGAAAATATTGAAGCTAAAAAAGAGGAAGAAATGTTCAAAAGAAGGCTCTGTTTCAAGAGTCTCAGAATCTTCCATTGAAAACCCTCAGCAGAAGCTAAATAAGCATGTCAGGTTCCAAGGAATTATCGAATCTATTGACAAGATATCCCAAGCGGGGGAGGACATCGAGAATTCAACTGGGGAGAGCATAGAAGATACTGCTTCTGAGAGCTCTGTGCGACTATCTCTCCCAAAACAAGGTATGCCTTCAATAACCAAATTCATAGAAATTTTGGATAAGCTGGACTTTGACATAAATAATAATGAGCAGGTTAAAGTTCCAAAGTATGAACTGGTTATGGTCCTCAGAGAAAACGAAAATTTGAGAAACAAAATCTTAAAATACAAGGACTTCATACATGAAATGAGAAAATAAAATGGGTAGGCTAGCCTGACTATTGTAGAACCCATTAAGCACATCATTATTAACTATGAAATTCAGAGGGAAGAAGGCATGAAACAAGTTGATAAGTTAAAGAGAGAGGTCAAATCATTGAAGAAACTACTCAGCCAGTCAATCAAACCAGATAGGAAAGATAGCTCAGGTGAGATCATAAGACTGAAGAAAGAACTTAAGAGGGCATATCTATCCAACCAAGGGGTAGATCAGTGAGCTCAGCTTGGAAAGGAGATAATTTCTCTCCAGTTGAAATTGGATAAACAGAAAACTCTAACTGACAAATATAAAAGAGAAAGATCGTTTTCAAAGACCATAGGTAAATAAATGAATTATTTTGTAGAAAAAGTAGCTTCAGACATTGGCTCAGTATTTGATACCAAGTCTAACATCACAATGACACCTATCGAAACCTCAACAAGGTCATGGTCAAGAGAGGATAAGACAAGAAGTTCTGATGATTTGCTTAACCCGAATAGAACAGCTGATTTAAGAGTAAACTCACTCATGAAATTTTCGAGTTTAAAATAAACTATTATCCAGCTGAGAGGTATCAGAAGGGGTTTTGGGGTTTTGGGGTTTTGGGGTTTTGGGGTTTTGGGG